GGTGCTTTTAGAAAAGACAAACATCTACTTTGTATCACACCCATTCTCCTATCTCCTGATTTCTCAAAACCATTTACATTACAGGTTGATGCTTGTGAATCAGGGGTAGGGGCAGCACTTCTACAATCTGGGGAAGATGGGCTGCAACCTGTGGCCTATTTCTCTGCCAAATATCACCCTCACCAGAGGGCCTACTCCACAGTTGAAAAAGACACCCTCACTCTGATACTGCGATTAGAGTATTTTGAGATCTACATGGGTCAGTCATCTCAAGTGGTCACAGTCTACAGTGACCACAGCTCTCTGGTTTATCTAAACGCCATGAAGAACCGCGACACCCGACACAAGAGATGAAGTCTCAGGCTGCAGCATCTGTACAACATAAATATTATACATATTGCTAGCAAGGATAATACACTGGCTGATTCTCTTTCCCGAATGTAAATTTAGGTTAGGATGTGTTAGGGGAAGAATAGGTAGAATAGCTCTTTTTTTTCTCCTCCATTTGTATATATGTAAAATACTTAATGTAAATGGTGGAGGCCGTTTTTGTTAGTGAGAGGATATTCTGCTACTGTCCGCAGGTATCTTGGATCTATGTTAGCCCAGCTCTCTCGCTCTAAGTTTAGAGTATGGCTTTATGTCTTGAGAAAAGTTGAGCTCTATCTAATGAGTTGGATGGTTGAGAGGAAAGGCAGTTCCATTATTGTACCATACCATGGTGGCACTCTACCCATGGAGGTGGAACCCTAGTCATGGCCATTATAGACCTTTTGGAGTGGGAGTGTGGCATGCAAAGAGTACAATGCATTTCATTTGGCGCATGTACACACTCCCATATAGGCTGCCTCCCAACCAGCAAACTGGGTGCTAAGGGTTTAACGATATTACAGGTCCCCATCGTTAAATCAGTACCTTGGTTCATTGACCAATCACAAGGTGGATCGGACAACTGCTGAGGTGATGTGGTATCACTCACAGTCAGCACTTGCCAGACTCATACAGCTGCTGGTTGAGCATGGTTCTCTCTCTCTCTCTGGTTTTTGTCTTTGCCTTGATTACCGTGTGGTACACTTATACTCCATTCTTGTACATAGTGTACATAAGTGTACATATATTAAGTACTTGGTGAAGGAAAATACCATTTAAAGAGTACTGCTATGTTTATTTTCACTCCAAGTCCCATTACGACCAGGTCAACAGGTCATTATTACCTGGGTAATACTCAGAGTAGAGCTTTATCAAGTTATGTTTCACTCAGAGTAGAGCTTTATCAAGTTATGTTTCACTCAGAGTAGAGCTTTATCAAGTTATGTTTCACTCACAGTAGAGCTTTATCAAGTTATGTTTCACTCACAGTAGAGCTTTATCAAGTTATGTTTTACTCACAGTAGAGCTTTATCAAGTTATGTTTCACTCACAGTAGAGCTTTATGAAGATACATTTCACTCAGTGAAGAGCTTTATCTGTCAGTTGTGTTACTGTCAACTTTTGTAGTAAGCTTAGATAATCCCAGCTACTTTATAGACATGCTCCCTTTGCTAGTTATGACGCCGTGACATGATACTTCTCTTACTAGCTTCTTCTAGAGGACCTGTCCAACGCCGTGACATGATACTTCGCTTACTAGCTTCTTCTAGAGGACCTGTCCAACGCCATGACATGATACTTCGCTTACTAGCTTCTTCTAGAAGACCTGTCCAACGCCGTGACATAATACTTCGCTTACTAGCTTCTTCTAGAGGACCTGTCCAACGCCATGACATGATACTTCGCTTACTAGCTTCTTCTAGAGGACCTGTCCAACGCCGTGACATAATACTTCGCTTACTAGCTTCTTCTAGAGGACCTGTCCAACGCCGTGACATGATACTTCGCTTACTAGCTTCTTCTAGAAGACCTGTCCAACGCCGTGACATGATACTTCGCTTACTAGCTTCTTCTAGAAGACCTGTCCAACGCCGTGACATGATACTTCGCTTACTAGCTTCTTCTAGAAGACCTGTCCAACGCCGTGACATGATACTTCGCTTACTAGCTTCTTCTAGAAGACCTGTCCAACGCCATGACATGATACTTCGCTTACTAGCTTCTTCTAGAAGACCTGTCCAACGCCATGACATGATACTTCGCTTACTAGCTTCTTCTAGAGGACCTGTCCAACGCCGTGACATGATACTTCGCTTACTAGCTTCTTCTAGAAGACCTGTCCAACGCCGTGACATGATACTTCGCTTACTAGCTTCTTCTAGAAGACCTGTCCAACGCCATGACATGATACTTCGCTTACTAGCTTCTTCTAGAAGACCTGTCCAACGCCATGACATGATACTTCGCTTACTAGCTTCTTCTAGAAGACCTGTCCAACGCCATGACATGATACTTCGCTTACTAGCTTCTTCTAGAAGACCTGTCCAACGCCGTGACATGATACTTCGCTTACTAGCTTCTTCTAGAAGACCTGTCCAACGCCGTGACATGATACTTCGCTTACTAGCTTCTTCTAGAAGACCTGTCCAACGCCATGACATGATACTTCGCTTACTAGCTTCTTCTAGAAGACCTGTCCAACGCCATGACATGATACTTCGCTTACTAGCTTCTTCTAGAAGACCTGTCCAACGCCATGACATGATACTTCGCTTACTAGCTTCTTCTAGAGGACCTGTCCAACGCCATGAGATCCTCACATATGAGTCGTAGGCCAGACGTGCTGCTCTCAGTCATGGGTCACCACGCTAGGCCTACTCTCAGTCATGGGTCACCATGCTAGGCCTACTCTCAGTCATGGGTCACCATGCTAGGCCTACTCTCAGTCATGGGTCACCATGCTAGGCCTACTCTCAGTCATGGGTCACCACACTAGGCCTACTCTCAGTCATGGGTCACCACGCTATGCCTACTCTCAGTCATGGGTCACCACGCTAGGCCTACTCTCAGTCATGGGTCACCATGCTAGGCCTACTCTCAGTCATGGGTCACCACGCTAGGCCTACTCTCAGTCATGGGTCACCATGCTAGGCCTACTCTCTGTCATGGGTCACCACGCTAGGTCTACTCTCACTCATGGGTCACCACGCTAGGCCTACTCTCAGTCATGGGTCACCACGCTAGGCCTTCTCTCAGTCATGGGTCACCACGCTAGGCCTACTCTCAGTAATGGGTCACCACGCTAGGCCTACTCTCAGTCATGGATCACCACGCTAGGCCTACTCTCAGTCATGGATCACCACGCTAGGCCTACTCTCAGTCATGGGTCACCACGCTAGGCCTACTCTCAGTCATGGGTCACCACGCTAGGCCTACTCTCAGTCATGGGTCACCACGCTAGGCCTACTCTCAGTCATGGATCACCACGCTAGGCCTACTCTCAGTCATGGATCACCACGCTAGGCCTACTCTCAGTCATGGGTCACCACGCTAGGCCTACTCTCAGTCATGGATCACCACGCTAGGCCTACTCTCAGTCATGGATCACCACGCTAGGCCTACTCTCAGTCATGGGTCACCACGCTAGGCCTACTCTCAGTCATGGGTCACCACACTAGGTCTACTCTCAGTCATGGGTCACCACGCTAGGCCTACTCTCAGTCATGGGTCACCACGCTAGGTCTACTCTCAGTCATGGGTCACCACGCTAGGCCTACTCTCAGTCATGGGTCACCACGCTAGGCCTACTCTCAGTCATGGGTCACCACACTAGGTCTACTCTCAGTCATGGGTCACCACGCTAGGCCTACTCTCAGTCATGGGTCACCACGCTAGGTCTACTCTCAGTCATGGGTCACCACGCTAGGCCTACTCTCAGTCATGGGTCACCACGCTAGGCCTACACTAGAGTCGACAGGCAGGCCTTGGCTATCCTCATGACTCTCTTAATTATACACCTCCAGGACATCCAGCGTGTGTTATTTCTTACTCCAGCATGTCCTGACCAACCCCTACGACATATCAAGTTAGCTTTCACTCACTGTAGAGCTTTACCAAGTTAACTTTCACTCAGTGTAGAGCTTTATCAAGTTATGTTTCACTCTTTGTAGAGCTTTATCAAGTTATGTTTCACTCAGTGTAGAGCTTTATCAAGTTATGTTTCACTCAGTGTAGAGCTTTATCAAGTTATGTTTCACTCAGTGTAGAGCTTTATCAAGTTATGTTTCACTCAGTGTAGAGCTTTATCAAGTTATGTTTCACTCAGTGTAGAGCTTTATCAAGTTATGTTTCACTCTTTGTAGAGCTTTATCAAGTTATGTTTCACTCTTTGTAGAGCTTTATCAAGTTATGTTTCACTCAGTGTAGAGCTTTATCAAGTTATGTTTCATTCAGTGTAGAGCTTTACCAAGTTAACTTTCACTCAGTGTAGAGCTTTATCAAGTTAACTTTCACTCAGTGTAGAGCTTTATCAAGTTATGTTTCACTCAGTGTAGAGCTTTATCAAGTTATGTTTCACTCAGTGTAGAGCTTTATCAAGTTATGTTTCACTCAGTGTAGAGCTTTATCAAGTTATGTTTCACTCAGTGTAGAGCTTTATCAAGTTATGTTTCACTCAGTGTAGAGCTTTATCAAGTTATGTTTCACTCTTTGTAGAGCTTTATCAAGTTATGTTTCATTCAGTGTAGAGCTTTACCAAGTTAACTTTCACTCAGTGTAGAGCTTTATCAAGTTAACTTTCACTCAGTGTAGAGCTTTATCAAGTTATGTTTCACTCAGTGTAGAGCTTTATCAAGTTATGTTTCACTCTTTGTAGAGCTTTATCAAGTTATGTTTCACTCTGTGTAGAGCTTTATCAAGTTATGTTTCACTCCTTGTAGAGCTTTATCAAGTTATGTTTCACTCAGTGTAGAGCTTTATCAAGTTATGTTTCACTCAGTGTAGAGCTTTATCAAGTTATGTTTCACTCAGTATAGAGCTTTATCAAGTTATGTTTTACTCAGTGTAGAGCTTTATCAAGTTATGTTTCACTCAGTGTAGAGCTTTATCAAGTTATGTTTCACTCAGTGTAGAGCTTTATCAAGTTATGTTTCACTCAGTATAGAGCTTTATCAAGTTATGTTTTACTCAGTGTAGAGCTTTATCAAGTTATGTTTCACTCAGTGTAGAGCTTTATCAAGTTATGTTTCACTCAGTGTAGAGCTTTATCAAGTTATGTTACACTCAGTGTAGAGCTTTATCAAGTTATGTTTCACTCAGTGTAGAGCTTTCTCAAATTATGTTCGAGTGCGTGTAATCCAATACAGCTCTACACAGAGTTAAACTTGATCTGATAAAGCTCTACACTGTGTGAAACATGACATGATAAAGCTCTACCCAGAGTGAAACATGTGATAAAGCTCTACCCAGAGTGAAACATGTGATAACGCTCTACATGATCTGATAATGCTCTACCCAGATTAAAACATGACATGATAGAGCTCTACAGAGAGTGAAACATGCCCTGATGAAGCTCTACAGAGAGTGAAACATGTCCCGGTCATCATTGCAACTTTCACACTATCGTGAAGTTCAGGAAAGTGTTGAGAAAGTGACCAAAATTCTCTGCAACCCCTGGACTGAAGAGGAGAGTGTTAAACTTGCACAAACAAGCAATTGCAGAGGTCGAGAGGTTGCAGATTCAGAGGGAGAGAGCTCTCCGGAGCTTGTTTCTGGCCCCCATTATGTCTTTCTTGAGGTAGCAGGTGGACCTGACCAGCCCCTGGGAGCTTGACGAGGAAGATTTGAGGCTGGTGGAGAGGGACCTGGCTAGGTTAGCCCTGAGGGCTAGGCCCTTGGAATGACTTGGCCGGCTGCTGGAGGAAACTGAGCTGGAGTCCTCCTCCTCCTCCTCGTGGTTGATGTAGTACCCCCTGGAGGCCAGCCTCCAGGCCTCCTCGCACTCTGAAGGTGTCCGGAACCTGGAAATCCTCCTCTCATACTGGTCCTCCGAACCGGATACATGCTGGTACATCAAACCAGATGCATCATACTGGTACTTTGAACCAGATGAATACTGGTACGTCGAACTGGATGCATCGTACTGGTACTTTGAACCAGAAGAATACTGTTCCTTTGAACTGGATGCCTCTTGGTACTTCATACCGGATATTGCAAACACCTGGGACTTCCGCTTGATCCGTGCCCCCGGCGGAGGCACCCAGGGTATCTCCCTGCACAGCATGAAGCACAGGAACTGCCAGTAAGCATTGCGGTACCTCTCATTACTGACCACATAGACAAAGTTGTTAATGCAGTACTGGAACCAGTAGATGCAGTAGAGCACGATTCCCAGTTCCTTCTTCTGAGAGACGTCATCTCCCAGGGAGATGTTGTAGACACAGACGGGGATGACACACACAAGGTAGACCAGCAGAAGCTTGACGATGACCCGGGTGGTGCGGCTCCGGCGGAGCGACACGGAACGCTGAGTTGAACGTGACCTATAAGATGAAGATGGTGATGATGTATACACACAAAACACACAAACACACACACACAACACAACAACACACACACAAACACACACACCACCACACACAACAACACACCAACAACACACACATACAACACAACAACCAACACACCATACACAACACACACACCAACATAACAAAACACAACACACCCAAACACACAAACACCCCACACCAAAACACACACACACACACACACACAACACCCCACACATACACACAACACATACACCAACACAAACACAACCAACACACAACAACACATAAACACACATGTACACCACACACACAACATTAACACACACAACACAACATCCAAACACACAACACAACCACACACACACACACACACACACACACACAACACATCAACACACACATCATACAACATTCAAAAACACACACACCACTACACACACACAACCCCACACACTCACACACACACACACACAACAATACAACCACACCACCACACACACACACACACACACACACACAACACACAAACACACAAAAACACACACACAACACACACACACACACCCACACACACACCCCACAACACACACACACACACACACACACACACACACACACACACACACACAACACACACACACACACACACACACACACACACACACACAACACTCACCTCAAGAAAGAGAGGACATGGCTGCTGCTGGTATGAACTTGCACAAGAATTACAACATAACCAATCATGATCAGTATGCAAGGAATCATACTCTCCAGCATGAAGAACATATTCCTGGGGGAGAACACACCGTATTGTGTTCTGTTGAACGTGAAATCACACTTGGCATAGTCTGCGTTGTACGAGAACTTCCCGAACTTCTGCAATGTGAGGGAGAGGGTTAGTGGGGTTTGAAGACTAGCTGGTGGCTAGTTGTTTAGGGTTTATAGTTTGGTTGATTGTTAATTTGTTGGGTTTAAAGTCGGTCTGGTGGTTCGTGTGTATACACTGAAATACACACACACACACACACACACACACACACACACACACACACACACACGCACACACACACACAACAGTGCCAGGAGCGGTGACTCGACCCCCCAAACTCACCCCTGTCAAAGTAGGCATCTGGCAAGCCAGACTCAAGAGCCAGATAGTACAACAGTAGGCGATAGTCTTCCTAGTAGTGAACCAGGAGCTAGGACCAACACTGTGGCGGTAGTTGTAGATAGTTATACACCTGTGGGAGATAATGGTAGATAGTTATACACATGTGGGAGATAGTTGTAGATAATTATACACCTATGGGAGATAATTGTAGATAGTTATACAACTTTCTAGACAGTCTAGTAGACACTCATTTAAATTCTAGACAATCTAGCAGCCCCCAGCTACCTTCTAGACAATCTCTTTATTGATAGTTACGTTCTAGACCGTCTAGCAGCCCCAAGCTACCTTCTAGACAGTCTAACATCCTTACGCTCCCTTCTAGAGAGTCTAAAATCTTGCAGTTACCTTCTAGAGAGTCTAGCAGCCCCACCTACCTTCTAGACCCTCTAATAGTTTCTAGTTACCTTTCTAAAGCCATCAGTCCTAGAGTGGTCCACTCAGCGATAGCGTTGGTGTACCTCATAAAGGCGGAGACCATACACGCGCTGTTGTCCTGGCTCCAGGGAGGCTGTTGGAAGATACAACCTTACTAGCACGAGTTACAACCTTACTAGCACATGTTACAACCTTACTAGCACATGCTACAACCTTACTAGCACATGTTACAACCTTACTAGCACATGTTACAACCTTACTAGCACATGTTACAACCTTACTAGCACATGTTACAACCTTACTAGCACATGTTACAACCTTACTAGCACAAGTTACAACCTTACTAGCACAAGTTACAACCTTACTAGCACAAGTTACAACCTTATTAGCACAAGTTACAACCTTACTAGCACAAGTTACAACCTTACTAGCACAAGTTACAACCTTACTGTCACAAGTTACAACCTTACTAGCACAAGTTACAACCTTACTAGCACAAGTTACAACCTTACTAGCACAAGTTACAACCTTACTAGCACATGTTACAACCTTACTAGCACATGTTACAACCTTACTAGCACAAGTTACAACCTTACTAGCACAAGTTACAACCTTACTAGCACGAGTTACAACCTTACTAGCACAAGTTACAACCTTACTAGCACGAGTTACAACCTTACTAGCACAAGTTACAACTTTACTAGCACAAGTTACAACCTTACTAGCACAAGTTACAACCTTACTAGCACATGTTACAACCTTACTAGCACAAGTTACAACCTTACTAGCACAAGTTACAACCTTACTAGCACATGTTACAACCTTACTAGCACAAGTTACAACCTTACTAGCACGAGTTACAACCTTACTAGCACAAGTTACAACCTTACTAGCACATGTTACAACCTTACTAACACAAGTTACAACCTTACTAGCACGAGTTACAACCTTACTAGCACAAGTTACAACCTTACTAGCACAAGTTACAACCTTACTAGCACATGTTACAACCTTACTAGCACATGTTACAACCTTACTAGCACATGTTACAACCTTACTAGCACAAGTTACAACCTTACTAGCACATGTTACAACATTACTAGCACATGTTACAACCTTACTAGCACATGTTACAACCTTACTAGCACAAGTTACAACCTTACTAGCACATGTTACAACATTACTAGCACATGTTACAACCTTACTAGCACATGTTACAACCTTACTAGCACAAGTTACAACCTTACTAGCACAAGTTACAACCTTACTAGCACATGTTACAACCTTACTAGCACATGTTACAACCTTACTAGCACATGTTACAACCTTACTAGCACATGTTACAACCTTAACTAGCACAAGTTACAACCTTACTAGCACATGTTACAACATTACTAGCACATGTTACAACCTTACTAGCACATGTTACAACCTTACTAGCACATGTTACAACCTTACTAGCACAAGTTACAACCTTACTAGCACATGTTACAACATTACTAGCACATGTTACAACCTTACTAGCACATGTTACAACCTTACTAGCACATGTTACAACCTTACTAGCACATGTTACAACCTTACTAGCACATGTTACAACATTACTAGCACATGTTACAACCTTACTAGCACATGTTACAACCTTACTAGCACATGTTACAACCTTACTAGCACAAGTTACAACCTTACTAGCACATGTTACAACCTTACTAGCACAAGTTACAACCTTACTAGCACAAGTTACAACCCTACTAGCACATGTTACAACCTTACTAGCACATGTTACAACCTTACTAGCACATGTTACAACCTTACTAGCACATGTTACAACCTTACTAGCACATGTTACAACCTTACTAGCACATGTTACAACATTACTAGCACATGTTACAAACCTTACTAGCACATGTTACAACCTTACTAGCACAAGTTACAACATTACTAGCACATGTTACAACCTTACTAGCACATGTTACAACCTTACTAGCACATGTTACAACCTTACTAGCACATGTTACAACATTACTAGCACATGTTACAACCTTACTAGCACATGTTACAACCTTACTAGCACATGTTACAACATTACTAGCACATGTTACAACCTTACTAGCACATGTTACAACCTTACTAGCACATGTTACAACCTTACTAGCACATTTTACAACATTACTAGCACATGTTACAACCTTACTAGCACATGTTACAACCTTACTAGCACATGTTACAACCTTACTAGCACATGTTACAACCTTACTAGCACATGTTACAACCTTACTAGCACATGTTACAACATTACTAGCACATGTTACAACCTTACTAGCACATGTTACAACCTTACTAGCACAACCTTACTAGCACGAGTTAGCATTACTATGACTAGTTAGAACACTATTAATAGTTAGAACGTTACTAGGTCTATTTAGAATGTTACTAGTCTAGTTAGAACACACAACACGCAACCCAACACTCGCAACACACACAACACATTAAACTCAACACACAACACATCACCTCACAACACAACACCCCTAAGCACAACACAACACGCCACAATACAACACACATCACAACACCTTAGAACACAACACCAAGCTACACAACACACAACACAACACCCCACAACACAACACAACACAACACAGTGTTACCTGCTGACTATACAGATACAACACCCCACAACACAACTCAACACAGTGTTACCTGCTGACTATTCAGATACAACACCCCACAACACAACACAACACAACACAGTGTTACCTGCTGACTATGCAGATACAACACCCCACAACACAACACAACACAGTGTTACCTGCTGACTATGCAGATACAACACCCCACAACACAACACAACACAACACAGTGTTACCTGCTGACTATACAGATACAACACCCCACAACACAACACAACACAACACAGTGTTACCTGCTGACTATGCAGATACAACACCCCACAACACAACACAACACAGTGTTACCTGCTGACTATGCAGATACAACACCCCACAACACAACACAACACAGTGTTACCTGCTGACTATACAGATACAACACCCCACAACACAACACAACACAGTGTTACCTGCTGACTATGCAGATACAACACCCACAACACAACACAACACAGTGTTACCTGCTGACTATACAGATACAACACCCCACAACACAACACAACACAACACAGTGTTACCTGCTGACTATACAGATACAACACCCCACAACACAACACAACACAACACAACACAACACAACACAACACAACACAACACAGTGTTACCTGCTGACTATGCAGATACAACACCCCACAACACAACACAACACAACACAGTGTTACCTGCTGACTATGCAGATACAACACCCCACAACACAACACAACACAACACAGTGTTACCTGCTAACTATGCAGATACAACACCCCACAACACAACACAACACAACACAGTGTTACCTGCTGACTATAGAGATACAACAACCCACAAAACAACACAACACAACACAACACAACACAACACAACACAACACAGTGTTACCTGCTGACTATGCAGATACAACACCCCACAACACAACACAACACAACACAGTGTTACCTGCTGACTATGCAGATACAACACCCCACAACACAACACAACACAACACAGTGTTACCTGCTAACTATGCAGATACAACACCCCACAACACAACACAGTGTTACCTGCTGACTATACAGATACAACACCCCACAACACAACACAACACCAACACAGTGTTACCTGCTGACTATGCAGATACAACACCCCACAACACAACACAACACAACACAGTGTTACCTGCTAACTGTGCAGATACAACACCCCACAACACAACACAACACAACACAACACAGTGTTACCTGCTGACTATACAGATACAACACCCCACAACACAACACAACACAACACAGTGTTACCTGCTGACTATGCAGATACAACACCCCACAACACAACACAACACAACACAACACAGTGTTACCTGCTGACTATACAGATACAACACCCCACAACACAACACAACACAACACAGTGTTACCTGCTGACTATACAGATACAACACCCCACAACACAACACAACACAACACAACACAGTGTTACCTGCTGACTATACAGATACAACACCCCACAACACAACACAACACAACACAGTGTTACCTGCTGACTATACAGATACAACACCCCACAACACAACACAACACAACACAACACAACACAACACAACACAAACAACAAACACAACACAACACAACACAACACAACACAACACAGTGTTACCTGCTGACTATACAGATACAACACCCCACAACACAACACAACACAGTGTTACCTGCTGACTATGCAGATACAACACCCCACAACACAACACAACACAGTGTTACCTGCTGACTATACAGATACAACACCCCACAACACAACACAACACAGTGTTACCTGCTGACTATACAGATACAACACCCCACAACACAACACAACACAACACAACACAACACAGTGTTACCTGCTGACTATGCAGATACAACACCCCACAACACAACACAACACAACACAGTGTTACCTGCTGACTATACAGATACAACACCCCACAACACAACACAACACAACACAGTGTTACCTGCTGACTATGCAGATACAACACCCCACAACACAACACAACACAACACAGTGTTACCTGCTGACTATACAGATACAACACCCCACAACACAACACAACACAACACAACACAACACAGTGTTACCTGCTGACTATGCAGATACAAACACCCCACAACACAACACAACACAACACAGTGTTACCTGCTGACTATACAGATACAACACCCCACAACACAACACAACACAACACAGTGTTACCTGCTGACTATACAGATACAACACCCCACAACACAACACAACACAGTGTTACCTGCTGACTATGCAGATACAACACCCCACAACACAACACAACACAACACAGTGTTACCTGCTGACTATACAGATACAACACCCCACAACACAACACAACACAACACAACACAGTGTTACCTGCTGACTATGCAGATACAACACCCCACAACACAACACAACACAACACAACACAGTGTTACCTGCTGACTATACAGATACAACACCCCACAACACAACACAA